CGTGAATTCTGCAAAAAGTGCGGATCTCATTTGAGAACCTTGGTCTGTTGTTATGATCGATGGGCAGCCAAAACGAGATATCCAACAGTTGAAGATGGCTCTGCAAATGGTTTCCGTTTTCATATCCGGGATGGGAATGGCTTCAGGCCATCTGGAGAATCTATCTATTAGAGTCAAAAGGTACACATTGCCTTCTGATGGAGGTAACGGTCCGACGATATCCATATGGATTTCTGAAAAACGTGCATCAGGAAGAGAGAATGTGCCCAGTGGTGCTTTAGTATGCCGAGTAATTTTCGATTTTTGGCAAGATTCACAGGATTTCAACCAATTTTTGATATGACGTTTCATATCGGGCCATACATAACGAGAACAAATAAGCTTCGTAGTAGCTGCAATTCCTGGATGTGACAGATTATGCAGGTGATTAAAAGATGAGTCTGCGAAAGGAATTCGGAACAAATGGACGAGGAATGTCCGTTGATATGTCACAAAGAATATTACCATCAGAATATTGGCACGGTTTAAATTCCAGTTTCAAAGATGATGTGTTGTTTTTGAGAAGGTCTTGTACCTCCGGATCATGCCGTTGAGCTTCCGAAAATTTTTTAAAATCCAAAATGGAGATTTTGTTATGGAATCAATTTCGATTCTTGAAAGAGCGTCAGCAACGACGTTTTTTGAGCCTTGCACATGCCTAATATCAGTAGAGTACTGAGAAATAAAATCTAAATGGCGCAATTGTCGAGGTGAACATTTATGAGGGTTCTGTTTAAAAGCGTATATTAATGGTTTTTGATCCGTATAAATTATAAAATTTCTGCCCTCTAACATGTGTCGGAATTTCTTAATTGCAGAATAAATAGAAAATAATTCCCTATCGTACGCGGACCATTTCTGTTGAGTTTCATAGAGAAAAATGCTATAGGTTCCCATGTTTGTTGAGACAACTGCATAAGTGTGCCGCCGATTGCGACGTCTGAGGCATCTACCCAGATGCTTAGCTGGGCTCCGGGAATAGGGTGTCTCAAAAGGGTAGCCTGAGCAATGGCATTTTTGGCAGCAATAAAGGCTTGTTCAGCATTCTCGTTCCAATTTAATTGTGGGGATGAATCCTGAACACGAGAACGAGATTTCTTTTTATTAATATAGCCTTCTAACAATTTTATTAAAGGAGAAAGAATATGTGCTGCTTTAGGTATGAAACATCTATAAAAGTTAAACATTGCCTAAAAATCGGCGAAGCTGAGTGAGAGTGGTAGGTTGAGGAAAATCTAAAATACATTTGACTTTGTCAGGAAGAGGTTCAATTCCGTTTTCACTAAGGTGAAAACCTAAGAAATCAATAGATGTTTGACCAAAGGTGCATTTTGAAACATTTATGCAAAGTCCATATTCCTGAAGTTTGGAAAATAAAGCTTTCAAATGCCTGCAATGTTTCCTCAGAATCTTTAGAGGCTTATGAGCAAGTCATCGACGAAAGCGTAAACACCTTCTAAATCCCGCGTGACTTCATCTATAAAACGTTGAAAAGTCGCAGATGCATTGCATAAGCCGAATTGCATACGGATACTTTCGAATAAACCGAATGGTGTGCATATGGCGGTTTTGTGGATGTCGGCTGGGTTAATTGGTATTTGATGGTATGCCTTAATCAGGTCGACATGACTAAAAATTTTAGTACCGTGCAATGCAGCAGTAAAATCGGCTAAACATGGAATAGGGTATTTGTCTTTTATTGTTTGAGCGTTCAATGCTCGATAATCTCCTACAGGTCTCCCATTCCAGACTTCCCTTTTTTGGAACCATGTGAAGTGGGGATGCATAATTGCTGCTCGAAGGTCTCAAATGCCCCAATTGCATCATAGTTTGAAATTCTTGTTTTTGCTATTTTTAAGCGATCTGGAGCTAACCGACGAGGTTTTGCAACCACAGGTGGACCTTTAGTTATGACATAATGAACGGTGTTATGTTTAACAGGTTGGTTAGGATCTGGTAATCTTAGTAACTTGAAGGAAAATTCTTTTAAAATTTTGTGATATGGTATATCACTAAATACACAGTTTTTACTGAATAAATGCTTGCATTTTTCACGCAACCGACGGTTTTAAAATGCGTTTTTAAATCTTTGAGACATTTGTTTCTGAGAATCAGGCACCAATTCAAAGAAATGGAGAAAATCTGCTCCAAGAATGGGTGTACTAGCATTTGCTATAAGAAAAGTCCATGTAAACTGTCGTCTTAATTTGAAATCCAAAGAAAGTGTTTTTTGACCATAAACATGAATAGTGGAAGAATTAGCAGCAAAAAGTGTTTGTTGAGGAGAATTCAATTTTTGAGAATTATTTGCTGGAAGTAAGGACACGTCAGAGCCGGTATCGACCAAGAATGAAAGGTTTGTTCTACGGTCACGAACGAACAGGCGACATGAACAGGCAAAGAATAAGTCGCCTCTATTCTTTGCTGGTTTCGTTTCCCTGCCATGAACAAGGTTTTGTACATTTGTCATCTCTACACTTTTCCCCAAAACGTCTATGATACCAGCAAACAGAATAATCTCTCCTTTTGGAATTGCTTCTTTCCTTATTGCGATCTCCGCGATTTGGCGAGCGACCACGAGAAAGAGAAATGCGATCAATACGTTTGTTTAATTTTTCTATTTGTTTAAATAATTTATCCTCAAGAGACTGATCGACTGTGCGAGAAACGGCACAAGTCCCTGGGGTTGGATTTACTTCTAAAATTCTGTCGGCAATTTCTGCAGCTTTATCTACAGTTAAATTGGACACCGCTGCCAAAATAGACTGAACAGTCGAAGGCAAACGTTGAAGGAATAATTCTAACATTAAGTTATCAGGAACATTTAAAGATTCTGCTCAACGTTTTATATTTATAAGCAAATCGGAAGGTTTTCGAGAACCTAATTCCTCTCCAGATAATAATTGGCGAATTTCTTGCTGAGAAGATTCTCCTGAACGATTTATTAACTCAGTTTTAAGCTTTGCATATGGATCAATAGGGTCTGGTTTCATAAGTAAATCCCGTACTATTGATGCAATATCTGGAGGAAGATGAGCAACTACATAATTATATTTAGTAATGGATTCTGTGATAGGTTTGGGGGTGGCAAGAGCAAAGGTACTTTCACACATAATAAACCATAAAGATGGGTCTGATCGGTTATAAACCGGAATTTGGACGGCATAAACATCAGACATTGTGCAAGGTTTTTAAGCCAAATAAAAGCAAAAATTTAACTAAAGAAAATGAAATTAAATGATAAGTAGAAAACAGAATTTATAAAATGATCTATAATTACTACTCATCTGTGATTCTGGAGGATGAAAAACCGATGTATAATCCATTACTTCTGGTTTGGAGATCTTGAGTGATGGCTTTGTAGTCAAAACCGAAAGTGCTTGAGAACTGTTCATACGGCCTGATTTAACACAGTCCCCAAGTCACCATTATGGTGATTCCTATCATGTTGTTACCTGTATGTTTTACCACCAATCCTCGAATTCCATATCACAGATTATGTTCTTACTGCATTAATATAATATTAACAAGACATAGCGCACAATAAAAATGAAGCTTTATTTTCCCCGACAGCCTGCCTGTTTTCGCTCTGCTCGCTACTCGTAAGAAACTTCTCCTCTAGGGTTGCCACACTTATCGGAGGGCGCAAGGCGCGCTCCTTATCGCCATCACCACAGAATAAATCAATTTTTATGGCGTAAAATTTAAACAATATATTGTTAATGCTTTTCTAACAATAACCTTTCAGAGGATGGCAGGTGTGACATAAATAGATGATTAAATTGAAATAAAAAATATTATTGATTATTTAAGATGACAGAATAGTTTGATGCAATTTCATGGTCATCAAAATTCACAAACCACTGTTGGTGTAAGGAATATATCATTTTCTGTGCTAACCAGAATTTAAGACAATTTTTTTTTCGTATGTCACGTTTAACCGGTTGATTTCAGTATATCAATACTAATTTATATTTTTTAAATGAATTTATACTTCTGTTATAAATGCTTATATATTGCCTTATGCTTAATACATTGTTTTCTGTGCTAACTTGAATTTAATACAAATTTATTACCATATGCTTAATATATTGTTTTGTTTGCTAACTTGAATTTACATACTCTTAAAATCACGTTTACAGCTTGGGGAGTAAAAATACAACTGCGCCAACGGGTCCTCTGCAGATGAAAACCCAAATTGTTTACTATTTTTTTTTTTTTTTAAATGTTGACAATTTTTAATTTTCTGTCAGTTTGAAAATAAGAATTAGGTTCTTCATGATATCGTTCATTCTTTCTTATTCTTCATTATTAAATTTTTTCCCCAAAATCGTGACCACATTTAACTTATTATCAACTAAAAAACAAGTTATTTTCTTATAAAAGTAAAGAATTTTACATCCAAGGAAAGTGCAAAAATGACCACCAAATGAAATTATTTATAGGAAAGTTGTGGCCAAATGGTGAAAGAAAACGGTATGACTCACCAACACTGACATTTATATTCAGGAGAATATACGGCAGAAATATGTAAGACGAGACAAAATATTTGATTCTTTATGGCAGCAATTGTTGAATTATGATTTCCATAAATTAATGTTATTTCTCCACATGTAAATAAATATTATTTCAGGTTAATTTTAAGAAATTACTTTATTAAGTTATCATATTGCAGATCTTAATTCTTTGAAGCTAGAAATGGTGTTTTTTAATACTTAGCAAATTAATTTTAAATGTGCCGAATCATATGTGACGGCCGTTTTAATACTGAAGTACCAGATTTAGTAAATAAAAATTCAAATTTAGTCCGAAAAACTTTTCATTCTGGCTATTAAAAAAAATTTGCTTGTCAGCCGCTTTTAGGTAGTGCATTCAGCTCGCATGCAATTTTTCTGGCATTTTCATGTAAATACAACTACTGCATTTTCATGTAAATACATAAAAAGTAAAAAGTTTATTACCTGTGTGCGTCTTTTGATGAGTTTTCAAATTTCCGGCTGTGCTGTAAGTTCTTGAACAGCCTTCATAATCACAGCGAAATTTTTTGTACTCTTTCTCATTTGTTTCTTGATTACGACTTTCAACAGTAATAGTGGCATGTGACAAGTTTTCTGGCATAGGATTGTTTCCTGGGTTTATCTGCATGCATATTTGATCAGCAGATATAGTATGCTGAATATATCTACATAAGAAAGAATTACATTAACACAACAATAAATAATTCCAGTCGTATTATGGCACTTTCTTATTAAAGCAGTTCAATACATTTCTTCAAAACTGGCCAACTTAAGAGCCCAATCTGTGACATGCTAAATTTTATGTTTGCAAAGATTTATGCCGTGGCCAATTTAACATGAAAATACCCATATTAATAACATTGCCTAATTTTGTTACTTCCAAAGTTTTTCTTTACTGGTATTAAAGAGAAGTTCCTTATATTTACTTTTATTTGCATCGAATCAAATTACCTGTAACTTACACGTTATGTTAATTGTTTACCAGTGTTATTTACATACCATTAATGCAGTTCAATATCTAAAATTCAAGGCAATTAAAGAATGCAGCCTACCTACGAATTGCAACAAAATTTAATTAAAGCAAAAATTTCAGATGCATTTTGAAGTTCCTCTTCCTACCAAAACGAAGAATTCGCCGATACGACATATAAGCATGAAAATGAAAGCAAAGATTTCTTGATATTACTACAAATTATTACTAATACGGTTTAAAACCCCTCTATTAACTGTCGGTTTCCATATTCTACACATGATTATTAAGTATAACTCTTCACAGACAGTATATTTTTAAATGAATTTTATTTGATAAAATAAAATGACAACATAAAGCATCCTCCCTATTTTAAGCAATCTTAATTTACTTATTAACTATCTATGAATTTCCAGCGCACACCGTTGAATTTCTTCATATAATCGTTACTATCATATAATAAAAAATCAAAACTACCGCATGAAAACAATAACACTTCAAATTACAATTTAGTATATTTACCCTGAATTTTCTTGCTCTACATTACTTTCTACAGAATTATCTAGAGATCCTAAAGACACTCGCATATCAATTGGTAAACTCTCAAAATCTACATCCTTTCTACGATTCTTATTCGGAAAAATGGAATGAGAAAATACAGTGCCATCAGGGCTATTAAAGAGTTGATCGAAATCAATAGTAGAAGTTTCGGCAAAAGGAGAAATAGTGCCCTCAATATCACTATTTCCAAAACTCAACCTGCCATTGTCGTCCATATCCATCATGATCATATCACTGCCATTAGATAAGAGTAAAGTGTCAATAAATCAGAGCCAATTCAATTGTTGTTTTTGTATCACCTGACCATTGTTTATTTTCTTTAACTAGCAGCCGTTTTATATTACAAAATATAATTTCAAAATTTATAAAATAGAGAAATTCAACAAATCAAAAGATAAGTAATTTAGCAAACTTCTTCACCTGTCTGCGTACTTTAATCTAACATCTTGTGGTACTAAAAAAATACTTTCATGTAAACTGCGAAATTTTTATTGGGAATCTAAGCGAACAGAAAGTTACTATGACGTAATTTTCTAGGATGTTTCAAGAATAATTGAGGAATAATAATTTCTTAATTTATATTTTAAATGTCTTTGATTAAAATCTATGCAATACTTATGGAAATATTTTTTTTCTCTTCCTGTTCTAGAGCGTTTTAGAACACACGCATTTATTAACTTGAAAGAAAATATGTATTTTAGTTGTATAATAAAATAAGAATAAAATTTAAATTAATTAATAACAATTTCATAACAAAATTATAAATAAAAAGTATTCAATAGAGTTTTTTGAAATCAAAAGTGAATAACCTTATTAAGGTATCTCTTCCTAACTCAGTATCTCAGTGATTTTTATAGAAATGTCTTTTAAGGAGCAAATTTACAAGAATGGTATTGGCAACAACCCAATGTCATCGTCTTCAATGTAAGTTTAGTCGCATTCCGATAGTGCTGAAATATGGTAAGTAATCACAATCTGTTTTCATCTTTACGTTCATTTATCGATTTCATTATAAAACTTATATTTTTTAACTTTTATGAGTTAGTTTTTGTGTATTTTATATGTATTATATATTTGTAATTTCCTAATTCGTGATAACATGCGTGACATTTTATTAAGCCTCCCTATTGAATCCCTGTATTATGGTGAACTTTGTTGTTTTCGTTTTATTAACTTGAAAATTTATTTCTAATTCATTTATTGTTGTATAATGCTCATTCGACATATGTATCGAAATAGTTGTAAATAGCGTTTTCGTTTGTTGGTATTTATAAACCATATTTTTTTGTCTGTGGTACAGTGTTTTATGTAATATTTCAGAGATATTATATCTTATTTATAGGCTCGAGGCCCAAAGAAGCATTTAAAAAGGCTTAATGCACCAAAATCATGGATGTTGGATAAACTTGGTGGAGTGTTCGTAAGTAACTTTTAAATGAAAATCCAATTCGGCTGCCTGTTTTTAACTATCTTAAAACAATACAGTTTACTAATAATTTTAATAATATTTTCATTTGTTTTGTCATTTATTACGCAAGTCGTAATATTTAGTACATCTTCATTTGGAACAGAAACAGATGCCGCTGTAATAGGATCGGCCACTAGCACTTCAGTTTGAATACACTGATTAGGGTTGTGTCTACTAGATAATTTTAGTTACACTACCTCGTATAATTTCTTAGTAGGTTTTGCTAAGCCAAAGCAAAAACCTTTCCTTTCTAATTAATTTTAATTTTAAGCAATTGCCAAGGGACTTAGTACACTAGCTTCTTTCATAGCCATTATCGCTTAATATGGGTGTCATTTTATTGAATTTTGTTTTATCAACAAAGCTAATGTATACACTGCAAGTGAGTATCAGCACAGGTGATTTATGTATTCGGCTTGAACTTGACACTAAATTGCACTGAGTTTGTTCGACGCCACCGTTCTCTACTTTGGAAAGAGGTTTATTTTATGTATAGAAATCAGTCGTATATGGATGAGCTTTCCCACAGAAACAATTTCTGGCTCTACACTTTTTTTGCATCACACTCTGAAGGGAAAAAACATTTAAAACAAAGTTATTTTGCTTAATAAATTCAACACGCTCATTTACTGAAAGCATTTTAAAATTAGGGGGTAGAGTAGACTTTAAGGTACCCCTTATATTATGGTGAAATTGTTGTTTCATTTATGGTAGCCTGAGTATTTGAGTTATGGAAACCCTATTGTGACGTAATCGGGTGCATGATACTGGAAAATTTTGAATCATGGGATGTTTTGTAAGCGTTTTTGTGGTGTGTGTTGGTTTGATTCTTTAGACGGTAGAATGGCCGAACGTAGTAAGATTAATTGATTAATCTTTGGATTATGGTAATTTGGCGATTAACCCTGCTACAGCAACCTGCTAATTTTTGTTTGGACACCATTTTGTTTTCACAAAGTAAATGCATGTTTTTTTTTTACTCAACATTTCCAACAATCTTCTAGCCGAATTACGCTTATGCTAGAACTTTTGTGGAACAAAAGTGCTTAATCATGACAAAGATTAGGTGCGAAATTGGGACAAAGTGCAGAATCGCCCACTGCTTGCCTCGTTTTTGCGAATTGCACATATGCGGTATCATCCATGTACACATCAACCTGTTTTCACATCCCAGAATTGCATAAAAATGGCATTGCGCATACTCTTGACTATATCCCTGTACACTGCTGAAGTCCTAGCTAGTAACCTTTATCGCCTACCTGTTACCATATTCCAAATATTAGCGATTAATTTGAAGTTTCTGTATGATTTGGAGCAAAAGGCGAAAAGAGCTTTAATTGCCATTATAAGTGTCCTGTATGTAGGCAGGGTATGCATTTAGTCGAATGTAAAAACCGTTTAGATGGGTTTGTAGGAAGAAAGGTCCAGATGGTCACTATGTGAAGGATTCGATCAGAAAGAGTACCTGGTTTGAAAAAAGTCATTTGAGTACGATTGATATTTTGATTTTTATCAAATCATGGTAAGTGAATATTTGGGCTAATCTTTGGAATATGATAACAGGTAGTTTGGCGACATTTTGGTAAGGCGATAAGGGTTACTAGCTAGGACTTTAGCAGTGTACATGGATAAAGTCAAGAATGTGCGCAATGCCATTTTTGTGCAATTCTGGGATTTTTTTAAGTGGTCGACGTGTACATGGATGATACCATGTATGTGCAGTTCTTAAAAACGCGGCAAGCAGTGGGCGATTCTGCACTTTCTCCCAATTTCGCACCTAATCTTAGTCATGATTAAGCACTTTAATATCTTACCCTAACTTCATTTCATGGTTTAAAGCTAATAGCTTCATAATCTAAAGCAGTAGGAATGTCTTGAAATTCGTCTTGCTTTTTTGCAGATGTAGAAAATATGATTTATTACAGTTAAAAGTCGTTAATCGGGACTTCGGTGATTCCGGATTACAGATCATCAGTTTAAATCTGGTAAGATGACATGCAAAAATTACAAAATTAAAAATATGAAACCGTAATTAGAAAAAGAACAATTATGATCTAAAGGGTATCAAAATTTACAAAAAAAAAGCTTAATATTTGTTTACTTTATTAAACATTTCTTTCAATGTAAGTTGTTTTAAGTTGCTTCGTTCATGTGATAATACTTTCTCTTTAATTCTATTAAACAGACATAATTTCTTGTTTAGTTACAAAGTTCTGCTGTTCAAGACCTATAATTGCTTTAAATCATATCAAAGACGGAGTACATGACATGAAATACTACATTTAGTAAGGAATTATAAGCCAAATAAAATAAAAACATCTGCCATGGAGATAAGTATAGTGCTGACAGATCAACTTCCAATTCATTACGCACCACAGCGTTCCTCCTCCCCTCCCCAGAGCAGGGTGAAATTGATAAACGGATTTTGGAACATACTTTCGCTTTGTAAATCCTTTACATATTAGTAAATATATATAGGAAATTCTATTTGACATAATCGAAAGTTCAAGCTTACTTTTATAAAGTGCTCTAACAGTCTGCAAAAAAATAATAAGCCGGATCCAATTCAAAGATTAAGGAACAACGCATGCAACATTAACTGAATTAGATAATTTTAGCTTAGCTTCTTATACCGTCCGGTATATATTAAATGCACATGTGCACACACATATTTGCAGCCCTAAAGGTCTTGCGCGCACGCAGCGACGCATGCGCAGAAAGTTTGTAGCTTTGAGGTCCGAATTAACGCCTTTTGACTATATTTATCTTTAGTTTGGCCCATGAAATTGCATTAGCTGGATTTGTTAAAAGCATATATATATATATAATGCAGACTCATCAGGATTTTGGCGATTCTGGATTTGGGATTTTTCCGGATAATAGATCATCAATTGAAGTAAAATGGCATGTAGAAATTATAAAATTAAAAATATGGGGCATTCCTCTTTTTGGAGAATACCATTGTGTGCTTTGCCGTAATGAAGGTGAAAAAAAGCAGTGCTGGTACATCCTCTGAGTTAGGCCCCTCGTATTACAGAGAACAATAAAATCATCCACAATTTATTTCTTAAAAAGAGAGGGCCTTTCTATCATGAAATAAGTTAGGAAATTAAACGAAATAGTGTGTTGATAGCCCCGATACAGTCCTCAGATTATCTTGATTCAGCCCGTCTCCTAATGCAGATAAACACTTTGCACAACTGAGAGGACTTCCGACCTAAGGTTATATGCAAGTAAGTCGCCATGGATCATAAATATGCTTTTGGATCACGAGATTTAAAAATTTTTAGAAATACTTCGCTATAACATTACCGGCTTAAGTACACGTTGTACGCCCAGATGGCGAGGATTTTTTTTAAATACTCAAAGTTATCACTCACTCAGTGCGAAAGGTATAAGTTAAACACTGTGACAGGGTATATTGGCGTTTCCAATTGCCGCATCGCATCATCACCTTGGCGATCATTTATTGGTTCCTCCTCAAGCTTGCCCCCTGCTGTAGCAGGGTTGGTCGCAAATTTTTGCCAAGTTACCATAATCCAAAGATTAACCCAGAGTTTATTATTTCCATTGCCTCTTTTATCATGGTTACCTGAAAATGATTTTGCCAAAAGGGATTCTGGTTTCTGTTTACCTTTTGATGACAAATATCTCATTCCCGACCTAAAGTTTGGTGTTCAAACCATGTCTCTCCCTGTTTAACTGTTATATGGGTCTTTAATTAATTATCACGTTCACCGAATATTTTATCCAAAACCAAAAGATCACAAAACGATTTAAGATCTTTTACATTTTTCTACTGACAATAATATTCAAAATTTGCATTTAACCTTGATGCAAATTGTACAAATTTCTCCGATGACAATTTTTGTGTAGAACGAAAATGATTTAAGCACTCTTGGCTGAAATTCCTTTAACCACATGCGCTAAAAAGACGTGCCACACACATCGAGATGCTTTTGTCTCAAACCGCAAGCAGCGTAAACACCACGTCGATATCCATTTATCGCAAAAATGAAAATAACGTGCACACGTCGCCTAACAACGAGATTGTTTATTGCTCGATTACAGCTCTGGATTGCCCTCACAGACGCAGAGCGGCATAAATGAGACACTTTACCGCTTGTTGTATTGTAGTGTACTGCCGCATCCGTGAAGGTAAGTCGTAGCGCAAGTGGTTAAAATTATGGACTTTAGTTTATCGTAATATCTTCTTCCTTCACATATACCATTAAATTAGTGACCTTCTCTCCCAAAATATTTAATAGTATTTCTGCTTTTAAATTTTCAGGTACTTGTTTTGTTCTAAAAGCCCTTTTAATTGATTGGAAAAAAGGATTAAAAGATTCTTATTTAGTAGGTACAGAAATTGTTTTTACAATTTGTATTAAATTTTCTGTATTTTGATATGTTCGTCTCAACATTTGGATTTTGTAGCAAGTCTGTTCGGTTGATCTTTACATTACGGTAACTGGTAGTTTGGCGACATTTTGGAGGTGATAAAGGTTACTACCTAGGACTTGGTAATAATGGAGGATACGAGTTCCGATTACGCCTTTTTGTGGTGGGGGTAATGAGAGATCATGGGATATCAGTGATATTAATGACGAGTTACGGTTCTTTAATCGGAAAAGGGGGGAATTGGAGAAGTATCTGTGGATGTTATTATTTTGTATTAAGCTTCATTGTTGTTGTGTGAAGTAGGGTTGAATAATTTTGGGATTGTATGGCGCTGTCTAAGTAATTCAAATTTTTATTTGTGTGATAATT